ATATATATATATATGAATTGGATTGCGTTGTGAACGTAGCCACTCAGCACAAGTGTGATCCGAACTGAACTGAAATCCGACGGGCATGTAAAAATGGCGAAAGTATTACGTTGGCTAAAATTCGTTACATTATGAGAAGATTATGGAAGAGCCCGATATTGCACATTAAAGAGCAGCCTGGAGTCATTGTGTTGAGCTGTGGCGCTCAGGGAAATAATCCAACCGAGCCAATAAATTTCAGCTCAAAGGAAAACATCAATCTGGCTGTTGCAAGAAGATCCAGATAGAAGAAGGCAAACATTACAAAATCTATGTTGGCATGTGTCTAAATGAGAATGTTTACATGTAAGCGCAAGAAAATCAACAGACCCTGGAACATCAAGCGTGTGGCTTTCTGTGGTGTGCAGAACGAAAGTCACAGTCTGCGTCTTCCTGTTTTCCTTCCTTATCATCCATTCAACGTGATGAACTAGCTGCAGACTATTTCAGGGGAACATTCGAAGGACTGAGGCAAACTTTTTAGATTTGCCAGCTCAGTACTTCCTGGATTTCAGGAAGCACACGTCAAGCACTTTAAATTTCGAAAAGGAATTAAAACGCCCTTGATGCTGATAACTGTGAGTGAACGTCAGTCTCTGAGTAGATAGAAGATTTCAGCGCATTATTGATTCTGATAAATATACTTTCTTATTTCAGTTCAATTCAACTTTAGAAACGAGCTCCTTTAATCAGGAGCGGCTCTTGAACGTCTCATTCCAGTAAAAGCCAAGGCGGTCGCTCATCTCTCTCCACTTCCCGTGTTGATCGGAGAGAGCGAGAGGGAATCTGACAATATACAAAATTTCTTTGTAGCATCCCAGTTCGTGACAGAGTAAAAACAGCTCACCAGTCCTGTGTGAAAGGACGCTATTCAGAGAGAAAGCCAGAAAGAAACAGAGAAGGACTGAGAGAAAGGAAGTTAAAAGCAGAAAAAGGAAGTTACAAAGCTAGGAAACGGAGGAAAAGAGAGGCAGATGCGGTGTGGCCAGCTCCTGTGCTGTTCCACTCCATCATTTCCCGGAGTCTCGGTGACTTCTCTCCATCTCTCCCTCCCTCTCTCTCTCTCTCTGTCTGTTTCTCGTGAGCTCTACGAGTCGGAGCTCCACAGTCCAGGGCAGGCTGGGCGAGGTGGTTTGGCTCTGGGTGGACTCTCACAGACGCTCCCTGGTGGGAATCCAGATATAAGGCCCTGACTGTTCTTCGATCACAGTTTTCACCTTGTGATAAACCTCCTCGAAGCTGTCGCCCTCCACGATCGCTGCGATACAGAGAGAGAACAGCAGAAAAAAAAACATTGCAGCATTTACTCAAATAAATTATGCAAACAGTGTACCTCGAATGGGCATCATTTTCGCAACACGAGCAGAACAAATTTTCGTGCAAAATTAAATGATAGTGTAAAGCAGTTACATTGTTGTGTGAATGCAACATTGTCGGCAAAATTGCAAAAACGTTAACCGCATGTAATTACGGCAGTACTTTTAAAAGGACAACTTCCCTACTTATCAATCAATATAATTTTCGTGCAAAATTAAATGGTAGTGTAAAGCAGTTATACATTGTTGTGTGAATGCAACATTGTCGGCAAAATTGCAAAAACGTTAACCGCATGTAATTACGGCAGTACTTTTAAAAGGACAACTTCCCTACTTATCAATCAATAAAAGTACCTTATCGAAAGGTGCATATTAGTGCCTTTCAGTAGTAATATGTACCTTTAAGGTACTACTTTGAAACCTTAGGGGTACTATTGTACAATTTTTGCCTATTTTTTTTAGAGTGTACATAATAATTTCATATAAATGGTTGCATTGATTTGTGTATCAATCAACGTTTTAGTGAAATAAAAAACTTGCATAAACTGTCACATTCATGCAATGCTCTGTTTAAATCAGGGGTTTTCAACCAGGGGCCTCAAGATGACATAAAATAATTTAAAATATGACAAAACAAGCTGAAAATCAAGCTATTTCTCATTTTAATGGGCACCCCTAAACAACTTTTTTCTCTGAAAAATAAGGGTTATCATGGTCTTGGAAAACCTTGATATATGTGACCCTGGAGCACAAAAGCAGTCTTAAGTCGCTGGGGTATATTTGTAGCAATAGCCAACAATACACTGGATGGGTCAAAATTATTGATTTTTCTTTTATGCCAAAAATAATTAGGACATTAAGTAAAGATCATGTTCCATGAAGATATTTTGTAAATTTCCTACCGTAAATATATAAAAACTTAATTTTTGATTAGTAATATGCATTGCTAAGAACTTAATTTGAACAACTTTAAAGGTGATTTTCTCAATACTTAGATTTTTTTGCACCCTCAGATTCCAGATTTTCAAATAGTTGTATCTCTGCCAAATATTGTCCTATCCTAACAAACCATACATCAATGGAAAGCTTATTTATTCAGCTTTGAGATGGTGCATAAATCACAATTTCAAAAAATGGACCCTTATGACTGGTTTTGTGGTCCATGGTCACATATGAGGTAGCCTAACTCTAGGTGGCGCAGACTGAGAGGTCCTTTACCTGCAACCTGCAAGCAATCACAACATTTACTATGTGGCACAAGCTGACTGGCCTCTGCTGATTCTGCAGCCAATTAGATTGCTTGCTCAATATTTAAATACTCTGGTTCAGTGTTTGTTATAAGCTGGTCCTGCAGCGCACCTGCATTTCAAACCCTCCACCTCCCCCAGCTCCACCTGCCTAGATCTGCTATGGGAATTGTGTATGCAGCAGCAGCAGCATATTTTACATGCTCACAGCAGCATGTCTGTGTATCTATTGGCAGTAGCATGTGCATACTTGCTCTGCAGCAGCAGCAGCAGCAGCATGCGTAGCAGATGTAGTTGCGCGAAGAGCAAATACAGGATGCTAACAATGTCATATCTATTAACATGCTAAAACTATTCAGAGAGTTGTCATGATTGAATTATAAAAAGTGTGATTTCTAGACCTGGTAAAGTCATGTAAATTAATAAAACTCCACGGTATTACAGTAGGTATTGCCTTATTAATAAATGTGCCAGTTTTCCTCCAGGACACTAGTGGGCGATGTGTGAAACTGTCTTACCAGAGAAGCACTCCAGGAAATCTTGCTCCAGTTTAATAGCGCGGTCCATACCTTTCCTGGCTTGTTCCTCAGTCAGACGTGTGTTTATCTCTCTGGATAAAAGAGCAGACATTTAAGTTTCGCCTTGATAAAGACATACATTGAGGTATTGTTAAATAGGGGCATTTTAAGTTCATGTTAATTTGAAGTATTTGTGTGGTTGTTCGGCGTTGCATACAGGACGTTCTCCAGTGATTTGGGCCGCACGAAGATGGCGATCGGGTGAAGCTGTGCAGCCTGCAGCCTACGAACTGCATTTGCGGACACATCCAGAATACAATGCTTTCCCTGCTGCTCACAAACACACAGACATGCATTTTAAGATTTGCAAAAAGGATACACAAGTTCATTGTTGTGTCCAAAAAACCTTGTCTTGATCTAACCTGTTCGGCCACCTCTCGTACGCTCTGAACGCTGGTTCCGTACAGGTGGCTGTTGTACTGGCCCGCCTCGATGAAATGATGGTTCTGAATGTCTTTCTCCATCTGTTCCCGCGACGACACAAAATGATAGTCCCGTCCATCCACCTCATACTCCCGCTTGGGTCGTGTCGTATCTGAGAGGAGCGGTGACATTGTCTCGTGACTATGATATCAGTTACGCTTAAAGGTGCTGTATGTAGGATTGACACCGAGTGGTTGAACTAGGTATTGCAGTCCAAATTCCAAAAACTTACATACGGCACCTTTAATGGCGGCAGATGACAGGTGTGCTGAAAATGACTCATTTTGTTTGAGTTGTTTATCATAATAGAGGAGGCTGTTGGCAGAGAAATTTTGGGCAAGCATCTAAAGAGAGTTTTTTTTTACTGAAATGAGATGAGAGCTAGAGAGATTCTATATGTATTGGGGCCATGTGATTCCAGACTGAACTGGATTCTGGCCAGAAATGTGGAATCCAGTCATAAAAACAGAATTTACTGTATAACGCAGGATGTCACAAAATTGTGGATGAATAATCAAACGTAGGGCTGTATAATGAGTTAAATCACAAAACGGACTAGTGTCTGTGGATATTAAAGCGCAGAAAGACTGGTATTTAAATATGAAGTCTGTTTTTTCTGTGTGTCTCTGCGTGAATGATGCTTCTCATTCACATTCACAGGCATCCGCACTATATGAGGACATAAACTTCATCTCCAGACCTTCTCTTCACGAGCATTTCACTTCACATTAATACACACAGAAATTCAAATTTCTTCATGATAACCCATCAAAATATAAGCTTGGTATACATTTTGATATATTATTACTATATAATAGAACGTACTGCTTCTCAAAATAATAATAAAATAATATATTATCAATAATAAATGTGTTAAATATTTTAAGGAATATTACACAATTGTTAAAAATTGATAAAAATAATTTTTGCCAAAAAATAAAATTGTGAATTTTAATTTGATTACATTTTAAGAGATTAATGAAGTTAATGTTTTATGCGTTCATTTGATTGCATTTTTTAAATAAAAAATTAGGATTAAATCATAAATCCACAGAATTTCTGAAAAAAATATATATATATTTTTTTCACACATCTCTAATATTGTAAAAAATTAAATTTAATAATTTAATTCAATGTTATAAATTATTAAATTGTTAAAGTTCTATGAATTATGTTGATTAGACATGCTTTTTGATTATTAAAATTTAATTAAACCATTACAATGGAATCTGGAAAATTCTAATAGATTTCATAGAACTCTAAAATGTATTAAACAACAACAACAGCAACAAAAACACTTACAATAAATTGTTCTTATTTTGTATAATGAGTGATTCATGATTTCAGTTAATTGACATGTTTTGTGATTACTAAAATTTAATTAATGCATTAAAAAGGCAGAAAAATTAAAATGGAAAAAAACTGAATCTAGAAAAAAAAGGGGAAACAAATGAATTTGGGAAAAAATTTAATAAAATTCAGGAAAAAAATCAAACGGATTTCATAGAACCCTATATGCACTCAAGGATAAACCTCAAAATTTGATTCAACAAACCTTTGATTAAAAACCTTTGCACCCTGACTCTCAGAAACTGCGTAAAGCCAAATCAGATCGGAGCTTGCTGTTGTTTGGAAGGCTTTCTGCATGTTTCTGAGCAATATACATCTGAGAGTGATGAATACTTACGAGGGACACAAGAGCCAAACTTGTCTGGGAACTCAGACAGCAGGTCATCATTCACTCTGTCCTTCACCGGGCCCAGAATAATGATGGGCCTCGCGTAGTGCACTAAACAGGATGAGACACACGACAGAGCCTATATGAGTACACAGACTAGAAGACAAAGCAAAAAATGGAAGTGAAGAGAAAGAATAGCAAAAATATGACAGACAAAAAGTCAGCACCTCAACCCTAGTGAGCTGCCTGCAAAGACCTCACACTCCCCACATGAAAACTAATGAGGTTTTTTGAACATATTCAGTACTGAAATAAACAGTAGTTACATCTACAAAGATCTGATTTCACATCAAACATCAACTATTAGAATAGACTTTCAGCGTTAGTGTGTTATTTGCTCTGTTTGTGTGGTTGCTGTCTGTCTATATACAGTACTGTGCAAAAGTCTTAGGCCATTAGTATTTTCACCATCAAAAAATCTGTTTTAAGTCAGTTTATTCTATCGTTTGCTGTAGTGTGTGAGAAGGAAATATCAGTTTACATTTCCAAACATTCCTTTTGCCATGAATTGTAATAATGCAGTGAGATTTCTGAATGCACAGCAGCCGGTGCTGCACACAGAGATCTGATCTCAGCATCATCCTCCAGTTCGTCTGAGATTACATGAAGAAACCAGAATCCAGAAGAACTGTGACCACGACTCAAGAAACCTTTATGCAAAGCTACCTGAAAAACTATGTGCAAGTGCACCAGACAAAAGCTGTTTTAAACATAAAGGGTGCCCACACCAAATATTGATTTGATTTAGTTAATAGAAGTTAATTGATAAATAAAATCGATTTATGACATTATTATTGAAAGCATCATCACTTTACAGCATTGGCTAAAATTTTTCACAGGCTTAAAACTAAAACTTATGCACAATACAGCAGTGTTGGGGGTAACGCATTACAAGCAACGCGAGTTACGTAATCAGATTACTTTTTTCAAGTAACTAGTAAAGTAACGCATTACTTTTTAATTTACAAGAGAATATCTGAGTTACTTTTTCAAATAAGTAACGCAAGTTACTTTTTTTTTCCCAATTTATTGATTGTCAGCTCTCCTGTCCCCATGTTGAGAGAAATCAGAAGATGTTACTGTAGTTCAAAATAAATATGAATATGAATTAATTCATCTCACTCACAAAAAAATTCAGTATTCCTCAAAATGAATAAAAAAAATGCAACTCAAAATATGACGCAAACCTGCAATAATTAAATGTTAAACAACACAAATATCCTTTATGTATTTAATCCCATTCTATTAACCAATGTCTTTGCTAGATGTTACTGTAGTTCTAAAATAAATATGAATATGCATTCATTCATCTCACTCACCAAAAAAACACAGATTCAGTATTCCTCAAAATGAATAAAAATAATGCAACTCAGAATATGACGCAAACCTGCAATAATTAAATGTTAAACAACACATATATCCTTTATGTATTTAATCCCATTCTATTAACCAATGTCTTTGCTTCTGACCTTCGATGATCCAGTTCAACCGTACTAATAAGCACAAATTACTCTAGACAAACATTTGTGAGTCTTTTTTATTGCTGAAGTGTGTTGAAATTTCTTTTGCTGCATTCTACTGTACGGATGTAAATTTACTTTCCCTTCAGCCTG